GGTTGTTTTATCTGGTAGGTCTGGCGTCTCGCAGGCAAGAAAGTGTTTGCATGGCAAAGCTTTTTCAGTAAATAAATCTCGCCGCATGCAGCACACACAATGTAAATGAGTAGGTGTTGAATAATGACACCTTTTTCGGGCGCGGCGGGGGCCGTTTTTGCTGAGAGCCACAAACACGTCCAATGAGCGGCGCATCGCAATTTGTCAAGCTTCTGGCTCGGCTTGCTCTCGGAAAAGTCATCGCCTCACTCTCTGCCGCCGCCGTCGCCGTTCTCAGCAGATGCCTGGCAATTTTTTATGCTCCTCCCCCCTAGGCAAGATTTATGATTTGGCTGCCGCATTTATATACGATTTTAATCTCGCTTATACATATTCTTTTTCCCACACTTTTAGATGATAGATTGTTTTCGGATTAAAATGCATAAAAAAAGAAACGGAACTTTAATCAAGAGCAGAGAGACTCGCCGGCTAAAATATTGCTTATCTCCGCCACACACTATATATATGACAATTGTTTTTTGAAGGCTGTGAAAATATATCGGTGTGGATTTGGCCGGCGGCGCTCTCTGACTCGGCCGGCTTTCACACCCCATAAATATAGCTTCTCTCTTTTCTCTTTCGCTCTCGGCGGCGGCCAAACCAGTCAAAAGGCTTCACTTTTTTATTTGCTTTATATTCTCGTTCGTCGGTGTGCCGCGCTCGACTCAAATATATACACAAACTCACTCTCCCTTTTATAAAGGCAGCAGCGCCGAGATCAACCACCCGTTCAGTGTAAATACGTTACACACCGGATTTATGATAATTCTGTTTTCACGCCGCGCCGAATCGGAAAAACGACTTGACGTGCGTGCGTGCGAAGGGCTGCTCTCTACGTTATCAATAATTCATGCGTTTCCAAATTGTATCTCTTGCTAATTTAATAACAGTAATTGACGAAAAACTAATTTAATACAAAAAATTAACTATTTATTTTAGGCGGAACAAGATTTAAAGGAAAAACCTTTGAAGGACTCCCGTTTAATCCACTTGTTGCTGACACCTTTCAAGCCGAAGCAAGGGGTCGTGGATTTCTTAATAAAATCAGGTGAAAAGTACACATAATTTGAAAGAGTTTGGCGAAGAAAAAAACTTGTAAAAGTCAAAAACTTTCCCGGAAAAACGCTACAGTAGTCTCAACTTAAAAATTGAATATCTCTGGTGTTCTATTTGAGATACAGAAATGCTGCTAGAAAATCGAAACATTTCTTTTTACCTCCTCTTTAACCCTGAGAGGCCAAATAATTCAGAGATCAAAGATCCTAGGGCATGTAAAAAAGAAATGCTAGCAAAAATATGCTTCCTTCGATGGGCTGACATTTTTGTCAAAAAAAGTTTTAACAAGCAGGAACAATATATGTATTAAAAGATCAGGATGGTTTTTCTTTTAAATTAAAAATAAAAAATCAGAAAGGATTTTTTTTTTAAATTTTGCCAATGGTTGGAAATTAATTTTTAGATTTTATTTGTATTTTTTAGTTAAGGATTGAATTGCCAAGCAATTAAACTTGCCAACCGACCCTCGTTTGGCTTTAAAGTGTCTGCTGTTTTTTTTTTCAAAATTAAATATTTATTTTTTGTGATTTATTGTTGTACATTCTTCAAAAATTAAGTCAACAGTATATTAATCTTTGGTAAAAATCAATTATATACGCTTGAACTAATGAAATAAATCTATGTAATTGTTTGCTCAAATATTTTGCATTCAAGAATATATTTATTCATTTAAAGAAAATTTTTTTAAAATTATTATTAATTATTCATTTTAATGCCTTTTAAAAGCGTTTGTCAACTTTGTCAACTTTTTAAGGGCCACTGTGGAGTCATATTTTTTATATGGCTTTAACGCATTTGATTAAGCAGTTTGTACACCACATTTGTTTGACCGAAAATTCAGCGCGTATTGAATCAGCAATTGAAAAAAAAATCGGCGTTGAAATTTCTTTTAAGCCGGCAGAAGCGCAAAGGGGCCACATGTGCCGATGCGACCCGGCGAACCAAATAAATGAGCCAGGTTTAATAAAATAAGATGTGCTGTTTTTCCCTACCTTGAGGCACGGCGATGGTCCTTGGTCCGTTTGAGGTCATCGGCAGGCCGGCGAAGTCCTTCGTCGGCTCAAATTCGGCAAAAAAACCGCGGCCGCCAAGGCGCGAGATTTGACTTCTGAAATCGCATCACAGACACTATAGACAATTAGACACTCCCTCCGTCCAGCTGGCGGTGGCTGCTGCTGCTGCTTGGTGCTCTAAGACAAGAATGAACAAGTCAGGACGAGTCATTGAGACTTACGTGGTATGTGTCGGGAGAGGCAAGCGCAGCCTCTTAAGCGCTTAAAAATTATCTTCATATTTTCAGCATTGATACGTGATTACTTGATGAAGTGGCGAAACGTTTAATTTTAAAATTATTTTGAACAAATTAAATCAAATTTTGGAGTATAGTTATTAAGCATTGTGCGGAATTTTTTCAAATCTATGTGGGACCGATCACGAATATTTGACCCCTAATTGTTACGAAATTTTGTGTTGCCGCGATCATCACAGTTTTTACATATGTTATTGGGGTCAATGAAAGGAGTCTCTGACTAAATTTTGAAATAAAAATTTTGAGTACTTTTTGAAATATCCGGGAATTTTGAAAAACCCAAAATTGCGTTTATCTTTGCTCCTATTGAGTTTAGAGCAATGCGGTTTTCACCTTAGTAGGTAACTTTTTATTCTGAACAACTTTTCTGTAGGCCAAAACGTTCTAGGTCAAAGGTCAAGGTCACTAAAATGCATTTTAATTTTTTAAAGCTATTTTTCTCAAAGAAGCATACCTTGGATTTTTTCCGTGGTATAGGAAAAAATGTAGCCAATCAAATTTTGCATCTGGTCAGTAAAAATCTCGATGGCCTTATTTTTAGTTTTTAAGATATTTTAACTATAAATTAAAAAGACGCGTTCTCGGCAAAACACGTTATTTTGAATTGTGACAGTTTTGATATAAATAATGTGATTAGAACAATGCGGTTTTCGCTATCCACCTTAATTTTTTATTCTGAACAACTTTTCAATTGACCAAAATGACCTAGGTCAAAGGTCAAGGTCACTAAAATGCATTTTTAGTTTTCAAGGCCATTTTTCTCAAAGAAGCATACCTCGGATTTTTTTTGTGGTATAGGAAAAAATGTAGCCCATCAAATTCTACATCTAGTCTGTGAAATTCAGAATGGCGTTATTTTTAGTTTTAAAGTTATTTAAATAAGTATTTAAAAAAGCATGTTTTTCAATGAAAATATACAGTCGAGAGCGCACTTTTTTAATTCATATGTACATATCTTTAAAACTAAAAATACCGCCATTCTGAATTTCACAGACCAGATGTAGAATTTGATGGGCTACATTTTTTCCTATACCACAAAAAAAATCCGAGGTATGCTTCTTTGAGAAAAATGGCCTTGAAAACTAAAAATGCATTTTAGTGACCTTGACCTTTGACCTAGGTCATTTTGGTCAATTGAAAAGTTGTTCAGAATAAAAAATTAAGGTGGATAGCGAAAACCGCATTGTTCTAATCACATTATTTATATCAAAACTGTCACAATTCAAAATAACGTGTTTTGCCGAGAACGCGTCTTTTTAATTTATAGTTAAAATATCTTAAAAACTAAAAATAAGGCCATCGAGATTTTTACTGACCAGATGCAAAATTTGATTGGCTACATTTTTTCCTATACCACGGAAAAAATCCAAGGTATGCTTCTTTGAGAAAAATAGCTTTAAAAAATTAAAATGCATTTTAGTGACCTTGACCTTTGACCTAGAACGTTTTGGCCTACAGAAAAGTTGTTCAGAATAAAAAGTTACCTACTAAGGTGAAAACCGCATTGCTCTAAACTCAATAGGAGCAAAGATAAACGCAATTTTGGGTTTTTCAAAATTCCCGGATATTTCAAAAAGTACTCAAAATTTTTATTTCAAAATTTAGTCAGAGACTCCTTTCATTGACCCCAATAACATATGTAAAAACTGTGATGATCGCGGCAACACAAAAGTTCGTAACAATTAGGGGTCAAATATTCGTGATCGGTCCCATGTATCATATCAAGGAAATTTTTTAAAATAAAAACTTGCATAGAATAAATTTAGTCAATTAAATTATTTTTAATTTTAAGATATTTAGTCAATGTCGTCAGAATTTTCTTTATTTGCCTTTACCAGAAATTTGATTTATTAATAGGGATGAAATAATTATTCAAGGATTTTTCAACATTTCCTTTAAATTGTAATAATTTGAACGTGAGGTCCGAATTTAACCAAAAGATAACTAACCGTTAACAAAATAAATAATTTACTTTTAATTTCCAATCGGTTTTGGCGTTCAATCGGCACTATTCAGAAAAAGCTTATTATTTTAATTTTACTACAAATTTTAATTTTGGTGATTAAAATTAAATTTCTGTTTTTAAGAAACATTGAGTGCCATGCCCAGATCAGGAACCCGTAAAGTGCAAAGCTTTCCAATTTTTTTTTCTAATAAATAACCAAAATATCAAGTATTATCTTATTTGCTTTTTATAAATTTTCTTTTGAAAAATTGCTTAGCCCGCCGCAAGCCTGCCGATATCAAAACGAACGGCTCAAGGCTTGAGCTGCGAGTGATGCTGTGATGTGCGTAAAAATGCAGCCCTTGCTCAGCGCCTCATTATCATTATAACCGTGTTGGATGATACTCAAGTTTAAAAGGCTGACAAAAAAAATCCAAGTCCTCTCTGGTCCTCGACTCCCTCTTCACACCTTGCCTTTTCCCCTTTTCACAACTTTCAAACCTGTTGCTCGGCGCGGCAAGTCACCTTCTGTTTTCTTTCATAGAATGACGACGACGGTGTCAAAAGGAAATTTGCAATGCACGTCTCTCTTTCACATGCACATGTACTCGACACGCAGGGATTTAATAAAAGTAAAACACTCGAAAACAATTCAGCTGATAACACCTACTTGATTTATTTACAAATTTCTACACTTTAAAACAAATAAAAAGATACAATCGTATTTTACCACCAGGGCACCTGCAATTCTTGACACTCATTTTGCATTCGAGGGCACCAGTTTTTTCTTTCTTCTTCTATCGATCACATGAACGGGAGTTTTTTGTTTCACAATTTGCATCTCAAACTCAAAATTATTCGCAGTTATTTTTTCTTCTTCTCTCACACCATCGACACTTTCAAGCAAGAGTTTTGAAAATTCATTCTCATTCACTTTAAAAACTTTAAAATCACAATACAGAGAAGTCAGATCAGACGTGTGACTCGAGAGGAATGCCGAAGCCGGCCAGAATGTCCGGACTTGACTTTTTGCTCGATTTCTTGAGGGCGGCCAGTTCGGCGGCCAGCAAAAGCACGACGGCCGCCGTGCGAGGGCTCAGTTCGGGCGAGCTGCTGCGGAGGCGGCCCCTCTGCAGCCAACTGCGCAGGGCCGCCTGCTGCTGGGCCTCGGTGAGCACCGGCCCGGGCGACCCTTCCTCGGGCCACCCGATCTTGGCCAGGTCTTTGGTGCCCCCGACCGTGTGCCGGCGCTTGATGCCCCGGTGCGTGTAGGCGCCGCTCTTGCGCTTCATGCGCGCCAGGAAGGCGTTCGACGGCGCCACCACCTGGCTGTTGTTGCGCACCTCCTTCTCCTGCTTGCTCAGACCCGAGCCCGAATCGCGTTTGCGGCTCCGGTTCTCCTTTTCGCGAGACTTGGACGACTTGTTTGGCGACTCCTAAAAGAAATAAATAAAAAATTAATTATCATTTTAATAACTGAACTGTAACATCTAATTTAATTATATAAGTTATTTTACATATTTTATATAATATATTAAATTATATTAACTTAAGATAAATTTTTCATAAATTTAATTTATTTACAGTTTGTTTGCTTTTTTTAAATAGGCAAGACAAACAAAAAGGATACAAACAATAATTATAAATATTACAGCAATAACATTCATAGTAATTATAATTTGTAACAGTTATATGACTAATTCTTTGTCATCCAAAAATTTTATTTCTTTGCAGATATTTAGATAATTATAATAATAAAACCCAAAAGAAGCTAGACGACGACAAAGCCATCAAATTAATTTTAGCTTTATGCTAAATGATTGGCAAAAGTTTGTGATTTTAAGAGGATAAAGCCCAAAAGCTGATAATTTTTTTCGCATCAAATTTTAATGCCTCAAACTTTTTAAGGGAAAACTCTTTCAATAGGTAATTTTTCTGCTACTTTCTGAATTATGAAAAATTATGCAAAAGGTGATATTTTAAGTATTTAAACATTGTCATTAACTTAAAATGTCTGGGCTTTATTTGCACAATATATTACAATTCTTTAGTGAAAACAGTTTTAAATAAAGGTGATGATGCTAATTTTCCCTTCTCTTTGAAGTGAAGCAAACTTTCAATTTGAAGCAAAAAATAGCCCTAAATTTATAAATTTTTCTTGGAAATTTCTAATTATAAAAAAATTAAACAATTCAACACCTGAAGTTTAACCTCAAAATGCTTACCTGTGGTGAACTGTTGTTCTGCTCCTGCGACTTTGTCTTGCTTCTATGGAGACTCGGGTCTCTGTAGGGCCTGAACTCGACGCCCGTGCATTCGGTCTGCTCTTCCTTGCTCTCAGCCAGAGACGATTGTTCTGCTGGAAGCCCCTCTGGCAACATCAACGACTTCATCTTCTGATCAAACGTTGACGTCAGACTCTCCAGCAGATCGTGGCCTAAAATTCCGAACCAAAAACTTAAAGATTCCCAACTTTCAGGAGTAAGTTTTCACGATTTTTTCTTTCTTTCAAAATTTAAATTAAAAACATTCGTGCCTCGGACAAGATTGGTGCATAATTTACGTTGCCTAATTCACGTAATTTTTCTCATTTGGTATTAAATTAATTGCAAATTAGTCAAAGATGAGCTTGAAAGATTTGGAAGCAGATTTTCTGTCCAAATTCAACAAAAGTGAGCCTAGTCTAAGCTTTATTTGGTGTAAGCGGTGATTATTTTCGTTAATATTTGTTCGTCATGAGTTGTCCTTTAGTTAGTAAAAGCAGAAAAAAATTAGAAAGTATCATCGCGCAGTGTGCAGGAGAAACATGCGTGAGTCGAGATGATGATTTTCGGCAGATTATTTACAATCCCTGTCAGAAAATGTTAATTGTATATGCACCGTAAAAAGTAAAGCACAAATATTGTTTGTTAAAAAGTTACGAATAAATTCGTTCAAACAAAACCAATCTTCATGCAGTGCAAGATGTGCTGTCAGTGAGGAAGAGGAGGAAACAAGAGAGAAGCCCACAGCAAAGAGACACTGAGAGATTTTTTTACACCAACCAAAATCCAACAGCCCTTACCTCAAAGGGCACATCAGTGTTGCACGTAATAGGGAGTGGGAGAACCGAGGAAAAATCTGGCTCTGCGTCTCCCTGTCAGAGAAAAGGAGAAGGATAGAGAAAAACCAAACAACCCGTCACCGGTTCAAACACCGCAAGCAACCTTATTTTTTTTTTGTTCAACACATTCTCCGTTCCCCATCAATGAAAAAAATAAATAACTGTGAGTCAAATTTGCAAAGAGATGTAGATACAAGGTGGTGGGCGATTTTCTTGCAATAAAAAGTATATTTATGACAGGCATGACTGTGTGTCTTGTGTGTAAATTTTCCCTCCGCGCTTTAGAGCTGGAGAGAGAGATAGAGAGGTGGCTAGTAAAAAACTGGCTATCTCACACCTGCTAACTATTTGCTCGTTTCTGGTACCTAGCTTGGACTTTTGGACTTTTTGAATTTGTCATCGTTAGTAGAGGGTATTGTCGTCTCACCATCATCAGAATTTTCACTGAACGGCCGGTCGGAGTGGCCTTCGGGCACTTTGCCTCCCTCCGGCCCACAACTGTCATGCAGAGAGTCCAGTGATCCACAGCGCATTGCAAACGGAGAACCCTGAAAAAAAAATTCTTTTAATAATATAAAATATATTGATTAAAAACAAAAATAATAAAAGGCAAATTTCCCAAATTACAGTTTCACAGGAAGTTAGATTTAATTTAAAAACAGGCTTATTTTATTTCCATAAAAAAATAAAAATAAAATGTCAGAGCCATCTCGCTCAGTTAATTCTTTTTATATAACATTTTTTTCATTTCATTTATTACAAATATCAACTTATCAATCTTTGTTTTTAAATAAAATGAATTTTAATAAGATATTAGATAATTATCAACTTAAACTGACCATCTCATTTTCAGTCTTTAGCCTTTTCAAAGATCCATTACTCTTCTGAGAATCCACACCCGTCTTATCGTGTGGAGAGGAAGCGGAGAGGTTCTCTACCGAGTTTCCTCTCCTGATATTCCGCAGCGAGGTCAGCACAGCCAAAGCGGTCCGGCTGTCTTGCGAGGACTGGTGCGAGGCAGCGGCAGACATTCGGGGAGATCCAGACGGTGGCTTGGCACTCAGGGGCAGACTGTGACGATTTGATGCATGGTCTCGATTCATGTCGGGCTGCTTCTTTCTGATTTCTGCAAATTTCAAACATTCTTTATAAGATCGGGGGGAAATTATTCTACTAATAAATCTACCATCCAAAACCGAAGGCACCCGAAGCTTTTTTTCTGTTTGAAAAAATAAAATAAATTATATCATGCTTGGAAAAAAATTAATTAAAAAAGTCAAGCAAGGAGATTCGGGAAAGGATGTAAGGAAAGGGCTGGTGAATTTTAGTCCACTCACCAATCGGACTGTTGCAAAATTCGTCGTTGTCCCCATTCAAGGACCCCCTTCTTTCTTCAAAGTGTTTGCTGTAGTCCTTGGAGAGGACAGCTTTCGTCTCCATTTCGAAACGACGCACCCTTTCTTGAGTATTGGCGCTCAGCCCTGTGTAAGTGTGAATGAGGGCGCCGTCCAGCACCTTTGCAGGCTCAGGGACTGGAGCAGCGGGTTGTTCCTGTTGGGAAGTCTGCTCCGGATTGGCGGTGTGGATGCTCTTGACGATGTTTCCGGAGAAAAGCACTGAACTCAAAATCGACGCTGCAATACTCGGAGTTTCGGAAGGTTCGCCTTCGGATTTTCCACTCTTGTCGTTCTGGAGCAAAAAATTTTATTTAGATAAATTCAAAATAAAAATGCGAATTTAGTCATACATTTTTTTCGTCCCCGTCTCGGGCGTCCGTGCTGTCCTCGGAGTTTAGGCGCATGCCTTTCTTGCTCTTGGCTTTCTGCATCTTTTTGTTGGCTGCAGAAATTATGGAGGAAACAATTTCTTTGGCACTCAGTTCTTTACTAGGCGATTCGGCTTTCAAGCCTACAGGGAGCGGCAAGCAAATGGAAACAAAAGATAAAACGCATGCGTAAGCGAAAAATCATATTTTAATAAATGTGATTGGGTTTTCTAATTGTGCAATTCTGAATACAAACCAAATAAATCTTTTTTTTAGTATTTAATATATATTTTTTACTCTCAAATCAACTAAAATAGCATCTACATAATTAAATACTATATGCTCAATAATATCATTAATTCATACAATAAAACTAAAATATTTACCTTCCACTTTGTGAATGTTATTTAACAGAAGAGCGTGGTTTGCTGCGTCAGCTGCACTGTCCGGCTCAGGTAAACTCGATGGCAGACTAATGGAAATAGGATCCTCAGGATCCTCTTCATCAGAAAAGAACCATTCGGCCTGCAAAAACAATAAAAATTAAATCCACAACCTTTAAAATGGGAAAAAATTTATCTTACATGAGATATGAGACTTTCAACTATTCGGCACTGGTGAGGCATGTCTGTGACCATTGCCACCATATTATCGTCTGAGGCTCGCAAAAGAGTGGGTCCGAAGACAATGGCCAAATTTTTCGCCTCCATCTTATTTATGTTGCAATGGTCGACCACCCTGGTCAAGTGGGCCATCAGGTAGCGCAGGGTTTCATAATTGTGATCCGGCAGTTCATGCACCTAGGATTTTTTTATAGTTTTTGTTAGGTGAAGAGTTAAAATAATAATAAATAATTACCAATCTCCTTATTTCTCTAAACCTCTTGCTTGGCTCGTCCAACTTGTCTGCTTGCACAAAACAAGGGTACAGTTCCGACGTGAAAAGAGAGTCCGGCAGCTTGCGGAAGAATGACTTGAGGAGACTCGAAATCACATTAACGTCGTTCCAGCGGGGATCCTGTAGATAATTTAATTTTTATAATATTAATTACAAAATATCTGATAAAATAGCTAATGTTATTTAAACATAAATTAGTGAATTTAAACTGACCAGTAAATTGTTGGCGTCCGAGCCTCTATTTGCTGCATCAGTAAGAGAAGTGACTGCTGCTGTGTTTCCAGGTACTCTGTAAATGCCGATGACTTCCAGTCCTCTTTCCTCGACAATTCTGGTGCACTGCACCACCAACCAAGGCACATATTCTGATACGTGTGACTGCAAATTTATGAAAATTGGTTTAGAAATAAATAAATATACCATTTTAGCAAGCTCAGAATTTATAATAATTACCTGTGGGCAAAATTCAAGGGGGATTCCAATGGTACAGCCTTCAGGGTGAGGGGTAGTGGGCGAATTGGGTGAGTTGCCCTGCATTTTCCGCAACTGCTTGGCCACCCGACCCTTCCACGTTTTCGTTTTCGGAGAGGCGAGTGGTTCTGTAAGCAAAATGTAAAGTTCATTAATAAAAAGCTTACAAAATTATTATTATAATGTTAACCAAATTAATAAAATGAGAAATTTAAAAATAATTTTTACACATAAGATTTATTAATAAAATACTTTGTGGGAACATAATTATTTCCAGGCAATTTAAATGGATATGAAATGAAAATTTTCCAAATTTTATATAGATTCCTTCTTTAGGTACAATAAAATTTAATTGAATGAAAAAATATTCAATAATTTCAGCGTCACTTTTCCTTGTATAATTAAAAAAAAAATTATTTTTAAATATAAATTGTAATCAACCCACCGTTCTGACAAGGCTTCCTTGTTTTGTTGACTGGCGACTGTCCGGTGGGCGACCGATTTCTGAACGAGGTGGTCAGTTTGCGGATTCCTTTATGTGCAGGCACAGGTGAGATTCGGGGACCTTGCGGCGGGCTGCCGTTGCCAGTATTGAACGGCGGGGAAGTGGGTGGCGTTTCGCCGCTCGAGTCATCCTTGAAACTCTCCTAAAAGTGGACAAACGTCAGTTTCCAGTTTTTTAATGGATAGCTTTTCCCGACTCCCACAACTCAAACTATATCTCTCGTCGCGAAGAATGCAAAGAAAAAAAAATGACAAGGTGATCGCGGTACAAAAATGTAACCCCAGCCGCCTCATTTGTCAGAGTAACTCGAGACGCGGTGATTCTCCTCGGGAGAAAAAAAACAACGTTTTCACGTTCGCCTGCCGACAAATGATTGATTGAAAATCGAGTCGCGACCAATGGAGAAAAATGCTCATCAAACAAGTGAGGTCGCGACCCGCTTTGTTGTATTTGGTTTCCTCTCAAGAGTCTCGAGCGAAGGAAAGGAGAAGAAGTTGTAATGAGTAAATATTATTTTTTATTGAGCCCGAGAGGTGCCGCGGAGAGATTTGTTTTGCAATTTAAGAGCAATTAATCAAGAGAGGATGCAGATACTTGAGCAACGGATAATTGAGAGTCGTGATTAAGCAATTGGCCTCGCAAAGAGAGAACCGCAGACGCCGAGGGAAAAATAAAATGTTTAAGTCGTGGTCAGATTTTATGCGGTGAGTACAATTTGAAATTTATAATCTAAAAAAATTCATTTGACTTGCAAAGATTTAATCAACCACTAGATTAAATATTTTGATTTAACATTTAATTTTGTAGAAAAAAAACAACACATGATGATATGATGAAGAAATTCCACCGTTCAAAAGTCCCATTTGCTAAAAAAAAATCGCTGAGAACTGTTTTATATTTCATCTGATTTCAAAACTTTTTAACCTAAATTTTAAACATTTTCGGGATAATAAACATTTTTTTGACACTCTTCGCAAAAAAATTGTAAATCGGAACAAACTTCATTTTTATTTTTTTCTGTCAATTATTTTCCTTGTATTTTTATGCCAGTGTTTTCAGATTAAATAAATATTTATAAAACAACCAACCTTCTTTCCATTTCATATCGTGGATGCAAAGACGGTTTACATTTGCTATTTTTTAACACAAATGAAATTAATCTTTTACGTCACCAATTGACATTTGTTGAAGATAATTATTGAATTTTCAAGTCAAAAACTTTTCCCCGAGCTCAAATATTAATAAAAAATTGAAAGTTTATAGAAAAATTCATTTTCCAATGCAAAATTGTAAATATTAATTTAAAAAGTACTTACAAGTGACTGAGGTCGCAGAAGCCGCAGCCATTTAGCCATGTCCTGCGGGTCCTCAGCCTGGAAAAGCAGCTGAGAGCCCATGGACGTGTCCACGCGCAAGACATTCTTGCGTTTCGTGTAGTCGGCCGCCGCGTCCACTGTGCACCCTTGAAGGGGCACCACATGTTCCTCCGAAGCACCCTGGTTCTGAAATAACAAAATCCAGCCGATGAGGATACAAAATTTGTAAGACCTTCCAGTTATACCGCGAGTAAATTTTTCTTCGAGTCGGATTTCAACGGGAAAGAGAATCGTTTACGTAACGTATTGAAATTTTCCATGATATTTTCGGGAACTACGAGCAAAAATGTACCGACGGGCAACACATCCTGGCGCAGAGTATTGCCAGGCGGAAGCAAATCACCGCAAAAACATGTCCACTTCTCTACTTCCATTTCTTGAGGTCATGCGTATTCAAACGCAACTGATAAAAATGGCATGAGACGCGAGATATTCAGGCGTTTCCAACGCTATAAAGTTCTTTCAACCTAGCTTGAATTTTTTCAGGAAATAATTATTTCAAAATAAGAAAAATTATACGTAGCATTTGCAGCGTTTTCTAAAAATAAATCGTTTGTGGTTTCCTGTATTATTTTTAAATTTAAACAGAGACTGGTACAAAAAGTCTCAAATGTTTTCAGTCCCTTAAATTTGAAATAGATTGGATTTTTGCGCAATGGCGTCAACAAAATTAAAAAGAATTGAAACGATATTTTCAGAGTTATCTTTTTCTAATCTGATTTAGTAGAATTTGAATTTATATACAGTATACCTGATTTTTTTTAGCAAATAATATTAATATAATTTTTTAAGTAAGTGCCGGGAAAAATTATTCCCAGTAAAGAGTGTTTTTATAAATTTTAGATTAAAGAATTAGATTAATTAAAATTAAATTACTGAATTCAACATTCAACTTTTATAAGATTTAAAAAAGAAATTCAATATATTTCTAAACAATATAATTATTTATTAAAACTTATTTGCAGTAGAAGGATTGGTTGCTTTTTAATTTAAATTAAAAAAATTTCAGTACACTGAAATGAAATTAATTGAAAATAATTTCAAATTATTCAAGGAAATAATGCTTTAATCACTTATATGAAGGAAATTTTCAATGAAATAATTAATTGAGGTCACAAAACCACCAGTGACTTTAGCAAAAAGTCATTGTCGAATCGTGATTCACCCGACACGTGTGTTACTCATCGCCAATATATAATCGCGATTGTTGCAACTTGGGAGGAAACGCGTCCGTTTCGTGACCCATTTTTTCTGCTCGGTGCGCAATTGAGAGGAAAAAAATTATGCTCACCGTGTTGTCCCTACGCTCCTTTCGCAGGTGCAAGGCGTTCGTCCGCAGCACGGCCCACACTTGCTTCCAAGATCTGTCGGTCGCGCGCTGATAACAGAGACAAAGTTATTTTACAGCACAATTACGCCTCCGGGCCGTCGGCGTTTATGGGCATTAAAATGGGCAAACGACTACCTACCTTGCCTTCTAGTAAGGACACCTTGCACTGGAGCCACCCTTCGCGCAGGATTTTGTCCGCCTGCTTGCCGAACAGATCTTGAATTTTTGAGAGACTCTTTTCGTCGCTTGGGCTGGAAAAAATTAGTGAAATCTTATTAGAACACTATGTTGTGCAAATTTTTAAGGATAAAATTATTTCATAGTTCTTTTTTGCTAAAAAGTTTATTTATTGACATTAAATTGTCAATTTTGTGATTTTGATTCAAAGTGTAACAAAAAACACATTTTTTTTAATTCTTTAAAAAAGAAAAAAAAACTAATATATTTCTCTTGTTTGAATGATTTCAAAATTTTATTTTCTCAGACAAACGTTTAAAAACTAAATCATTAAAATAATTACATAAAAAATTATAATTTGTCAAATCTCAGTTTGCCTATTTAAAATTTTATCAGACCACCTGTAGACCGCTATCTAATTTATTATCAAAAGTAGGAAATTGAAAGGCGTAGATTGTTGCTATAAGGAAAACCACATAATATCTAAAATCTTTCCAGAAAAATGATAACAGTTAGATTTTTCTCTAATTTTATTTTTTAAATTTTAAAATATAATTATTTTTTAAAAATCCATGCAAAAGTGATATTAAATTGAATTAGTTAACGAATTTGTTGAAATATGCAGATGAGATAAAACTGATTGTTCCATGCTAGGAAGCCCAGTACTTTATTTATGCAAAATTATTCCAATTAACAGTCCACTTAATTGGGAGCGCGACAAGTTAAGAAGTTCAGGGCCACCCCTTCTGTGCAACTCGGGCGACCTTCCAACGGCCGCTCCGGTTTCAGCGGAACGTTTGTATATTTTTTTATGAGGTTCTCACCTTCCAGCGGGCGACTCGGAGCTGGGCTTGGTGACGGCGTCGTTGTCGCTGACATCGCTGCTGTCCATGCGCTCGCTCCACGTCGCCTTGAGGTAGGACTCGCGGCGCACGGCTCGCTCAGCCTCCACTTCTGCAACCAGATCACAAGTTTTTAAATGATAAGCATTTCAGTTTCTTTAAAAATTGAAAATAATATATACATATAAACAAAATGAGGCTTATCTTAATCAAAGAATCTAGAAATAAAATGTACGATGTCCAAAAAAATAATAATAATAATCAGCAAAATGGCAAGATATCCACTTTATCCAGGTAATCAAAAGTGTAAAATATTCATAATATTAACTCTAGCAATTAGATTCATTATTGAAGAGAGCGTAATATAGGTTTGATTTCATGAAACTAGGCTTAATGAAAAGAAATCAAAATAAAAAAGCTCTATTTTTTTAATGCTCTTGATATTATTTGGAAATATCGTTGCACAAAGCTTTTGACAGACTCGTTTGCCTAATTGTTTGTGAATTTATTTCAAAACTTCCCCTCTATGATTGGTATATTTCATCCCTTGTTAACATTTAAATGATAAATTAGCTGGTTGTTGTTTATTGTTTTTAAAGCAGAAATTAACAATGTAACAACCAGTTTACAATTTATATACACATTATTTAAAATTTTATTTTTTAATTTTGCAAATAATCTTATTTTTTTTTCAATTAATATTAATATTATTATAGGTTAAGTTTATAAATAAAATAAATATTGTCTCTTTTACTATGAAATAAAATATACAAAATTTATTTGTATATAAATTTTATGTATATTAAATAATAGTAAACAAACACAATTTAATAGATTTTAATGAAAATTATATAGGAGTGGTGTAAAGATCATTATTTATAATTTAATGATGAAATACAAGCATCAATAAAATAATTTTAAAATTTTAAAATGATGTTCTCAATTATTTTGAATTTGAAGTAGAAACTTAATTTCAGAGCATCTCTTTAACTTACACGAATTTAGATTAACAAAATCCATTGAAATGGGCTCTTACCTAGCGAGTGCTGGCGCAGCTTCCTCAGCTGCACTCCGCCTACGACCGCAGGTGTTGCCTCATTGTTGTTCCGACCTGAAACAACACACACGGCGTCAAGTATGGCACCTGCTGCTGCCGCCACGATCGTTTCTCTATTGTTCGGCGCGCAATAACGAGAATGACACACGGTGGTAATTGTGCGACAAAGGAAGGAAGGAAAAATGAGAGAAAGAAGGAGTACCGATGCAAATTGCACAACATCTCAAACAAGGGCGGTAATATTATAGAAAAGCGAGAAACGTAAACGCCAATTGATTCTCAGCTAATTTATTCTCTCTCACCTTTGGTGCGACTATAAATTGCTGATCCACGGCTAACGAGCCGCGCGTTGTTTTCTTGCAATTGCATAAATATAAATTTGTATAGTGCAATGGGCGTTATTGATTGCGTTGCGTTTGATTTGTGCACAGACAGAGAACATCCACTATGGATTGTAATTAGGCGGACTGCCTGTCAATTAGTGCGTTATTGATGGGGTGAAATTGTAAGTAAATGGACAGACGATTACAAAATTCGTTGCGTTTGAAGTTTAAAGATTAAGCAAAAGTTTGGTTTAATGCTTATTAAATGTATTATTAAAACTTGTGATTTAAAAAAAAAAAAAAATATTGAACGATGATATTTTTGTAAAATTTATTAAATTATTAATATTCAGAGAAATAGAAAAGCCTAAAATTGGCTAATCTATGACTCATTTCAATTGCCTGAGTAAGGTAAGGCTTCTGAAACTTTCTTAACTATTCATTAAGCTTCCATGAGTAGAGTACATTGAATAATTATTGCAATCGTTCAAATTTCAAACACAGTAACGTGGGACCCTCAATAGTTGACATACTATTAGTCATTAGACATCATTTAAAAATTTTATTTTACAATTGTGAGCCGATTTTAAATATTTCAATACATAAATTATTAAAATTGGAAAATCGAACAGAAATCATCTAGGAATGAATATTGTATGAGCAAATAAATAATTATTTTATTTTATTAAAAATTTAAAAAATTAAATAAAAACTTAAAGATTAAACTTTAAAAAATTAAAAGTAACAATCGTGGATGTTTAAATATTAAAATATTGTTTTTTATTTAGAAACAAATAAAATTAAATTAACTTTTAAATTTTTAAACAATAACATCTACTTGCTTCCCACGCTTTGGGAGAAATCCGAGGGCCCTGATGCACCCGGGGACAAAAGGGCAGCTGCGAGAGAAAGTATCGTCAGCTGCTCGGAGGCGAGACGAAATATTTTGTACACAACAAAAACGCACTCCCTGCATTATTTATTCATTTCCTTAATATGCAAATGCGAGGCGAGTCCTCTCTGGAAATCTCTCTTTCAACATTCAACACCAAACTACGAAATAAAAGTAGGAAAAAAAAACAACACGAGAAACGACAATTAAAGATCGTGCGGTTTACCTTCAGGTGCTGTATGGGCCGATTCTCGAGGCTCCGCAGCACCGGCGGCCGTGGCCACCCCGTCTTCGGCGGTGCACGCCGGCGGGGGTGAGGGAGGGCGCACGGGGTTCTGCAGGTTTAAGTGAGAGGGACGAGCGGGTCTAGCAGTTACCTCAGCGTTCGATTCGCTCACAGTGGCTGACGGACAAAACAGAAAAAAAACGTGCTCTAACTACGAAGGTGCCAAATTCGGAAGTAACAAAATTCAACTCGAATTCAATTCATATAGAAATAGAAGCATGCTCAAAATTCTAAAATATAATTGAAAACTGGTGGGGCCACTTACGAGTTGAAGAGCGACGTGTGTCCCACGAGGTTGGTGCCTTGGGCCACGACTCGGTCGAGTTGGACCGCGAACGGGGCGGTTGATGCACTTCTGCCGACGTGTTGGATTCTGCAAAATCAAATAAGATACGCACAATTAAAATTAAAGTCAGTAAATTGCAAAAAAGCAAACACTTTGTTTAAAAAAAAAATGATAATTTTTAAAGTTATTCATGCTGTTATTTACAAGATATAGCAATTTCTTAGGATAACACACAGATAAACACAACGATTATTTGATTTTATAAATCACTGATCAAAAATTATCACCATTCAAATTTTGGAACTAATTTCAGTTTACAATTTGCAAGTTGAAAGTCGTTATGATGAAATAAATGTGAAAAAAACTTTTATTATTTAAAAGCACATTTTTTTTTAATTAATGGAAGAAAAGATTTTCAATAAAAATTATTAAAATAAAAAATTCTACATTAAATTTGACTTAAAAAATTCCAGACAATTAAAAAAAAAACTCAATTTTGGTAATTGAGAAAAATTTCTATGAAAAATTCCCTATTTATCTCTAAAATTTTGAATCAGAAAGACAAATTTCGCAAAGGTCAATTTTCAGAATAAATTTCGCAGAGAATAAAATAAAAATAATTAATGTTTTTCACCAGACAAGCATTTAAAATGAAAGAGTAACGGGCAGGGCGGCATTCGAACAAATTAAAGGTCAGCTCGCAGGAGAATGGATTCGTGATTGAGGTGCCGCGGACTAATTACGTAGAAAGCTTTATGGATCGATCAGTTTTCAGAGTCACGTCCGTACGTACGAATTTTAGGCCAGAGAGCTTCAAGTAGGCAGCGATTGAATGCCTAATTCCTGCTTTATTGTTGTACCGTGCATTATGCGTGGCCACCCGTTGTTGTTGTTATTGGAGCCGGAATTTACATTAGAAAAGAAAAGGGCCACACGACGCCCACACTTCTTATTAAAAATAAACGTGACTTTCGAGTAAGACCCGGGTTTTTTCGGCTATGAAAACAAACGAGCAGGAAAATCCGTCCGTTAAATCGGCGGATAAAAAATATCCATCACGGCGATTTCACAAAGAATTTGCGTTCGTAATTGACCGTGAACTGATTTAAAGAGAAATTGCTCCATAAAAATAAGAGGTCAGCTTAATTTAACTAGTAAATTTCCTTCTTCATGCACAAGAGTAAATCATTTATTTAAAAAAAAGACGAATTAATTTTTGTTAGTTACACGATGCATTGTTTGTTTTTGTTAGGAATTCCCCAGACAAACACGCAACAGTCGAGGACGAACCTTTTTTGCAATCGTCACTGGACTCGTCAAAGTCCTCGAGCCATCCAGGAATATCGTCGCAGGGTATGTACCTGCCACCGACGGGGATCAGCCTGTTGCCCGACAGGGACCCGAAAATTTCGCGCGTTCGAAGCTTGGTCGGAGTGACCGCGGGGGAGGCAGGGGGCGTCGGGGACGCCGGGGGCGTGGGCAAGGGAGGGGGACTCACCGACACCACAGGGACAATTTGCAAGGGAGGCGGAGAACGCGGTGCTGAATCGAGAAAAATAAAGAGAAAAAATAGCCACCAACACCATTAAAATAAGAATAATAATGCAATCAATCGGAAGAACAAGGGGAATAGGAATTGGCAGATTTAATTTTCTTTTGGAGATCAAGAATTCATGATAATAAAATACAATATGCAATGCCGTAATTGCCGATTATTTTATAAAATTCCTATTTCCCTTAGCCTTTGATTGATATAAGATTGATTGATGGAAAAGGAAAACTCACCACAGTCCAAAGACTTGCTCTCCTTGCTGAGACTCTCGAACTCCTGCTTGCGGTGCGCAACATCAGGCACCACCTTTTTAGCCGACAAGCGCGCCAATTCACTTCTGTAGAGCACCGTTTTGTCCTCCTCGACCTGGCCACTTTCAAATTGCAAGGCCCTCTTGTGGACCATCTGCGACAGCGGAGAAATCAAGCCGCTGCCCGGTTCGTGTTTGACAATGGGCGACACTTCGGCCGCTCCTGACAAGGACGAGCTGGCCAGATTTTCGGTTATTTTAGACAGGGTGGTGACGAAGGCCCTCGGACTGGCGCTCTGCTTCATGGGGGAGGAGGTGTTGGCCGGCGTGGTTGACGCAAAGCTGGTGACGGGGCCGCCGTACATGAACTGGGCCCTGGCGGTGGCCGTCGCGGACAGCGGAGGGGAAGTGGGCGTGTCGTCCGAGAGGGAGTCCTCGGGCTGGTTGGGCGGCCACTGCGGCTTCTGGAACTTGTTGGGCACGGCGTAGAACTCCTTGGGCGCGTTGGGCAGGCAGATGGGCTGATTTGGTCTCTTTAGGAACTCCTCTTTCTGTTCGAAACTCTTCTTAATCCTAGTTATCACAGACGCGTCGGCTTCGACGTCCGACGAGACGGAGAGGCGCGGCGAGTCCGAGGGCAGCGACGCGGACGACTCGCGACGCCGGTCCTCGGTCAAGCGGCGCGAGGCGGCCGCGGCCACGGCGCTGCGCACGCTCTCGGCACTGCTCACCAGGCTGGCCGCCTGGTGGCCGTTGAGCGGCCGGCCGCCGCTCACGCTGCCCTCGCTCGAGCGACGGCTGCTGCCCTGGCGCGTCAGCGAACGCGTGTCCAGGATGCGGCCGGCCAACGCCTCTGCGTGGCCGCCTGTGTTCGAGTAGGTGAGCATGTTTTTCTGAGAGGACAGGGAGGACGAGGACGAATGGGGCGGCCTGTGTGTAGAACGAGATTTCACGCCCTCGTCAGGTAAGGAGTACAAATGCTGGACCTCCCTTGGACGCTGGTTTGTGTAAGGGTTGTGGGCAGTCTCGCCAAAATACTGAAAATTGAGTAAAGTTGTTGTTAATACAAGCGATTTGGGTTATTTGAATTACTAACTAATTTTTTTATGCATATATGAAACGTGAATAAAAATAAAAAAGAAATAATAAAATAAAATTGCTTTAGAAAATAAAATTGAACAGTTGTTATTTATTGAACTAATTTTTTATTACTAAAAAAAAATATGAATCTTTTGAAGTTGGTAGGTACCCTGATTGCATTTAGAAATGATAATAAAATTTAAATAAAATAAAAGATTTCAACACCAATAACATTATGAGCTTGTGTTAGCAATTTCAAATTGAGAATATTAGAAGATTGAGAGGTTTCTAAACATTCTTTAACTATCCTATTTTATTGACTTCAATAACTTCAAGTTTTAGTATTGTCTAATCAAGGAATGTTTATTCTCAAGAAACGGCAAGATTAAATTTATAAGCAGAAAAATGCAACCTGCACGACGTGACTGCCAAGAAGTTGCCTATATAAGTTGGCTTTTCTTGGTAATCGTTTCTAGGAGGTTGCAATTTTTTATAACTATGATCGCGTGATCTTAACAAGGTTAATCCGAGCTTGATCAAGGCAATCAAACTATTTCATCTTATTTTTAAAACATCAGAAATTGAACAGAGAACTTTTTTTTTTGCTCTTTAAAATTCAATTCGAAGGGGCACAATAAAAAATTTTAATCTATTAAAAATAACTGCAGTCGCAGAAGACTAAAATTTAAATGAACAATGCAAATCATTCCTAAAAAATTAAACATACCAAGAGATAAATAGAAAGTGAATAGCTATTATGCCAGATGACATGCAAATTCTAATAAGTAATGGAAATGAAAAATAGCGATGCAAATTTTCATGATTTGCGTGCGTTGAACTCACCAGCTGCAAAAGATCATCCTCCTTGGGCACCACCAAAAGATGAAGATAGTTCTCGCTCTGCTGGATGAGTTGCACAACTTGGGCGTAGTTCAGGCTGACTTTGCCATTCACGCAAACGATGCGATCACCTGAAACGCGAGCGCCGATTTAACATAAAACACATACATTCAACGGGAACATAACAGAATTCAGATTAATAATATTACAAACAGCTAAAGAAAGAGAAAAACAATGGCGCAGGTGTCTTATCTTTTATCTCAACAGAGGAAGTTACTTGGCACGACTTTAGTATTTATGTCGCAAATGACTCCATTTGGGCAAAACGTACCTGTTTTCAATCCTGCCTGGTGTGCCGCACTTTGCTCGCGCACGTGCTTCACGAAAATTGTGTCCATAGGCTCATCAGGGCGGGTGTGCGCCTGCCGGATGCCGAGCCGCTGCTCTCCCGCCAACACCTACGCACGCAATCCATGCGTAAAAATTTGAGCAAAACAGACCAAAATCGCGGCCACTTACCGAATATGAATCGGGAGGGTAGACGATAAAGTGGCGCAGCGTGAAGCCGAATCCATCGTTGCCTCGGTGCAGCAGCAAACTTCGGGGGCCTCGGTGTGGCACTGGCAGCTGCGGCTGCTGCTGCTGCGGGTGCCGATGCTGGTAGAGCCTGCCGGGCGAATTAACCTCAGGTGCCCGCCTTTCGGAAGCCTGCAACACACAAATTATGCATTTAAATTTAGCTGGCCAAGTAAGCAGAAGGATGAAAATTAAAATTGTAAGGAGTTTTATAATTCTTTTTTATTCCATACCAATTTTATATATCTGGAATTGGGAAAAATAGCAAATAATGTAATAATAGAAATAAAGATGGATTTTTGTTTGCAAATACATGAAAAAAACTCGTTCTGACAATGAGCTGTGTTATGTTTGACTAATACTAACTAAAAAGGTTTTATATACTTTTAAGATAATTAATTGTCCTAGAAAACAACCATATTTTTAAAACCTTTTATTTTTCTAAAATATAATTAAAATTTTCAAGAAGTTTTAACGCATAGTTTTTATTTTTTTAACAACACATTAATAATTATTTTAACAATATCATTTAAATTGAAACATATTGAATATTTATAATCGTTTCAATATTTTCTTGTACGAAATTAAAAAAACTTTGCTAAAAAAATATTGTAAAATTTGTATAATCAGAAACCTGCTAACTGATCAATTAATTCATTGAAAATTATTAAAAAAATAGCTGTCTCACGCGACTCGTATTGTTTTAATAAATAACGATTAAATTCAAAATTATTTGGCTAATAATTTGCAACTAATTAATATTCATTCAAAAAAAATCAATAAACAAAGCGTACTCAATGTCATCTCTCTTAAAATTAAGCAAAAAGCAAAACGCCCTTGAAACCAATTTCCAACCGCGCTGATAAAAAAGCCGGGAATTCACAGTTGGTTTGGTTTTTGGTTAATTTCATTTTCCTCCGTCAGTCACAAGTGCCGTCGAGTGTGTGCGTACGTTTATTTTCGATGGCACGTCATTTCACTCAATTATGCACGCCCTCCTGGAAATGGAACAAATTTGGTCCGGCTCTTCGGTGCGTGACCGGCCGAAAACAATGCGCGTCCAGCCAGGACTTTAACCCCAACAATCGAAACCACCAAGCCGAAAAATAAAACCGCAGCGTCAAAATCGAAAGTAGTTAATTGGCCAGCAAGAGAGAAATTTGCATGTCCATTTTTATAAAAAAGGATAGGCCCGCCCTGACATGCCGAAAAAATACGTGACTGGTGTTGAAATTGAACTGCTCCCCTCTCTGGAAAAAAATAAAATTGCGCTTTTTTCGGAGAAAAGTCTCGATTCTGATCAAGCCCGGTGGCAACGCGTGGCCTTTAGAAACACATAAACGCGCAGTAGTTTCGACTGCCGTTTCAAGTTTCAAGGTAGCGACCATCCATCACCTTTATGGGTCTCTGAATAATATCATTATGGAATGATTACAAGTTTACAACGCATTGTGGCCATTGTCAAAGCCAATCGGCGAGTTTCGAAATTCTCTATCCACTTCCTTCCTTCTCCAGACGTGATCAAAACAAACGCCGGGTATTAAAAAGTTGACGTCAGTCTCTTTCCATCTCCACGGCTCACTGGGTTTTAATAATACACAAAACACAAAAGCAGCAGAGCAATAATAGCGAACGACTGCCGAGAAACTAATTATCAACTCGCACGCCATCATGGCAGCATAAATAGACTAGTAATTAAAATTCACAACAAGTCGCTTTTTGCAAACAGCTGCCTTTCCTTGTTCGTCTTGATAAATATAGAGACTCGAATACAAAAACAAAGTTAAAAGTTTCTCTTTCAAAATGTAAGGAAGGAACCTTTGAAGTAAAATTTAGAAGAAGAAAAAATACAAAAATTAATATAGAGATATAAATTCATGAAAAACTTGTCACTTTTTTATCATTTGGCTAAGAAGTAATGTTACAAGATGGTATTTTTTATATATAAAAAAATGTATTTTCATTGGCTTTTTTAATTCTAAACCCCAAATTGATAAAATGAAAATGAAGTTAACTTTTTTTATTAATTTTTAGATCAAATTTTTCTCTTTCTTTCAGGACAAGAAAGTGTTTCAGGGTGGATGACACGGATTTCAATTCAGCCGCTGCACTCAATGATAATGGATTTCGCACGGATATAGGAAGTGTTAGTTTTTTTTCCATTTTCACTCGTGTGCATTCGCGCTCGCAAGTCTGATAAGCCGTGCTAATTTCCACTATCGCCCGAGCCGCGTTTCCTGTTCGCCGAGTGAAACTCTCTCATTTTACAGAATGTCGCATTCGTTCTTCTCTTCTCTCTCTTTTTTTGCATCGAAACCGCACTAGTGTGCGTTTATTTTATTATTTATTTTCTGCCAAGATGGAGCGTGACTCGGGTGTTTTGTTCACTCGAGTGGCTGCTGAAATCCAATAATAATATTTTTTCGCATGCGTGTGTATATCGAGAAGAGGACAGATGCAAAAAAAAATTGCGGCGTAGCTTCGGATCGAGTCAGTGACCCCGGCATTGTTTGTCCCGAAAGGAAGAAACAAGATTCGAGCGCGGAATAATCGATTCGAAGTTTTTTTGTTCACTCGGTTGCAAAACTAAACATTGTCGCGGTTGATTCATATAATGCTTTTGTAATTTCTCTCTCAATCATTATTATAAGTTGCGTACATATAAATTTTAATATAATTTTTCTTCTCCTCAGAGCAACCCCGCTCGAGGGCCTTGATAAAATATGTAATAATGATGGCGAGCAGTAAAACGATTATTTCGCAATCTAGGCGGCGCGTTCTTTCAATTATCCTCCCTCGGCGTTATCACGCACGGTTCGTAAAAGCGGTTTATTGGCTGCGGACGGACTGGCCGTCGGGGTCGATTTCGCACCAAGCCGCCTGAACTTTGACCTATCACACTAAATCATCGACTCAAATAGCGGGCCTGGAGTCGTAAAAAAGCGGGGCACAATGGCGCCGAAACGTGGCCAAATCTAATGTGATTAGCGTTAGAGAGATGCAGCTGGAAAATTGCTTTCGAACGGGAATTTCTTGCAAAACATCCGCTGTTGTTTGGGAATAAAGAGTGGAACAACGATATTGTTTCCAAATTTGGAGGAATAGGAGATTAGCTGAACAAAATTAAAATTCCGATCTGGAGAAGACAAATGTTTTGAAAAAATATCAATAATACAATCATTATAATATGTATTAACAATGTAGCTGACTAATTATTTTCTATAAAAAAAAGTATTTTACTATTAAAATCTGCTAACATTAATTAATTAATTTTACCAGTTCTGATGAAATTTATTACATTTAATTCATAAAGCAACAAAAATTCACTTAGTGCAAATTTTCAGGATCATCCAAAATTAAATATGAGAGCCAAATTATTTGTCAGAAATATAAAAATTACTTCAATTTTGACATTAAATTTTCTAAAATATACCAAACTATTCCAAAATTTTTAAAATTTGATTTCATTCTATATTCTGAGGTAAATGTAAATTTTCGGACAATATTCGCTGAATAATTTAATTTTAACTCTTCCTATTGCTCAACTTTAAAAAATGGATTTTGTTATACTTTTGAAAGTCTACTAACAATCCATGTTGCATCATCATCATAATAATTCGCACAAAATATAAAATTCATGCATAAAAAGCAGAGCATAACCGTGGAAGGTTGTTTTGTTGGTGCCTTTCGAGCGTGTTATTAAATCTCCCGCATGTGCAAGTGCGGTGAGGCAATTGCAGAAATGCGCCGGACTCCATTGTTACTCAACCGAAATTCTCGCCGAACCAGCCACAGATAAAATCAAAGCCGGGCAAGCTTGTCTATCAAACAATAAAATATCGCCGTGTGTTGTGTGGATTTATCTGGCCACTTATCTTGGGTTGATATCGAATCTCGCCGAGAGATAATTACGTAATAATAACAACACTGGCCTAGCGAGTACCGCAATTATTATTATTATTATTGTTATCATTTCCTCTCTCCAAACTCGGTTCTAGATTTTCTGCCTAATGCGAATATACACGCAGAGGAAATTATAATACACACGACGGATTTTTAGAGCGTATTTGGAAAGGTCACCTTTGGTTTTTTTCGAGTGGTGTTTTAATGGCTCAGAGAGTCAGAGAGGATTATCTCGTGACATATTATTATTTTGATTCTGGGATTTGTGTCTGGCTGACGCAATTTCTTTGTTGCGTCTCTGGCTCGTCTAGAAGCATAGCTTTCTATTAGGAATGGAAAAAAAGAACACATAAAGTGAGTACTTACGAGCTCAGTGTCAGATGAAAAGGCAATGAAAGTTTCTTATAAAATTAAGGCTTAAGGTTATAGCAAAAACATACTGAAAATTGTTAATGTAAAACATATTTTCATTTAATACAAAAAGATTTACCTATTTAGCTTTTTTAACAGTTTAATAACAAAAGTTATTTTATTATAAATTTTATTATTTATATAAAGATTAATTTACTAAATAATCTTCTCACACTATCAAAAAAATTTATATATTAGAAGATACATTTGAGTTATTTATAAAAAAAAATTATAAATTCAATGGCAAACCTCATTTTGTCATAAATGATAAAAGATATTATTCGTTTTGGTAGCTTTACTTCAGATGGTTTCAGTGTGGACTTGTTAGAAATTCACTGATACGTTGAATTGACTGATAATCGTGTAAATTAAATAAGATTACTGATATGACATTTTTACAGTGTATGCCACTCATAAATATGCAAAATAATAAAAATAAAGTAATTTATAAAATATTTTAACAAATAATATTGAAAACCAGCAGTTAACTTCTTGAGCTAGCAGATCGGGTAGAGCGACTGTCTTCTGTGTTTCTCACAGACATTAAATATCATCATGGGATGGTAAATCAAGCAAATTCAAGTAAAAAACACAACGTTAGAATTTACCAAAAAGGATTAAATTGACCGCAATCGTGCCTCTTATTAAAGTGACTAAATTTGAATGAAAAGTATAGCTTTGGGTGAAAAATATACATGTTTTTTTTTGTATCGACAAAAGTTGAAAATTTTTTTGCTGTTGGTACAAATATGGACTAAAACAGTATAAGATTTTTAAAATTAAAGATAATTAGAAAAATAAAGTAAGTGACTTTTTTA